CTGGGATGGTGGATTTTGCCTTAGAATCTGGAGGTAAACATAAGAAATACTATAATATTAAGGAAAATGGTATACTTCCAATAAAAACAGATCTAAATAATTGAGAGCCACAAATCTGTGTGTGTGAAGGGACTGAACATCACTGAACTTATTATGGAAAGTGTACAATCTTTCAGTCTTCTGAAGTGAAAAATCTGTAATGATTACTTAAAATAATGTTGTATTTGACAGAAGCAGAGCATTGGAAAGTTAGAACAGTATTCGAGATTAATGAAACCTTTCGTATTTGGTTGAGTTCTTGTTGTTTTTTAAGGGGGGGAAATAAAAAGCCTTTAGGAAGGAATGAAAAACTGCTTCTGCTAACCTGGTTTTGTCTTTTTTTAAGGCGGCAGCATTTTGAGTACTCGCTGTTCTGAAACCTATGAGACAAAAACAGCGTTAATTAGCCTCTTTGGAATTCCTCTGTGGTACTTCTCTCAGTCTCCCAGAGTTGTTATTCAGGTAATTAAAAGTAAAGTAAACAAGTTCAGCAGTGTTATTTTGTGTTGAGTGTCCTGGGGTGGTTTTTGGGTGCTTTGTGTTTTTCTGTGATACGCTGCTCCTCTGGGGTGGGGAGGATGAGGTCGGGGTACTTTGAACTTTGTTCTGAGAGTGTGATTATTCTTGAAGGCCCTTGGCGTTGCTTAAGGCCCTTCTTTAACAAAACTAAGGCTCTCATAGCAGCCTTGGTGCTGCACTGGATTTCTGCAAAATGTGGGCACTGTGAGGCTCCTGTTAGAAAGCAGTCTTCAAGAGAGTGCTGGCAGTTCAGGTGGATCCGCTGCCTTTGTGATGAACACAATTAAAACTGCAACCCCTGTCTTCCATTCTATTGTATAGTCCTTCTAACACAAAGTATCATTTCATGTTTGGTCTTTGGAGGCAGGATTGGACTTGTGGTTAGGAATGGAGTTATTCAGTAACCAGTAAAACACACAATAACTTGTTCTGCCACTTATTATCGTTTTAAGACCAGTAATTCAGAATTCATTGCAAAAACAAAATGCAACAAATGTTTATGTTCTTTCTTGTCCTGTTCTTTCCACACCTTTCTGTCTACTTGCCCTGAAATCTGTTCAGCCGGACATGTATCCAGGAAACTGCTGGGCTTTCAAGGGATCAGAGGGATATCTTGTAGTTAGACTTTCCATGAAGATCTATCCTACTGCCTTCTCCTTGGAACACATACCAAAAACACTTTCACCATCAGGAAATATCACCAGTGCTCCTAGGAAGTTTTCAGTATATGTAAGTCTTGAGTTTTAAACTGTTGGTGTTTATAAAGAGTACTTGTTGTATATCCTGGGAATAATGAGGGAGAACAGCTAAGAAGAGAAAGCGGTGTTTCAGTTTTTGCTGTTAGAATTGTTCATATTCTTGATGAGCTTCGGGATCTAGAAACAAGTGCTAGAAGTAGTTTGGAGGGATATTTATTCTCCTCATGCTTGTTAGAATTGTGAACTTCTGTGAAGGGAGGTAGCAGTTCTGTTTGTCATGAGCAGGTCATATTTTGCAGTGCGATGGCAGTAAATCAGCTCCTTAATTCCTGCTATAAAAGTTAAGGAGTTTGTATGTTTTCACAGTCAAACATAGCAGGAACTGAATGTACAGCTTGTCTGAACAAGCACTGAGTTGCACGGGAAACATTCTAATCCTTGCATGGTAGATTTCTGGATGCTACTTGTTGATCCTCAGTTACAGAAATATGCTTCTACAGTTTCAATACTTGAGAGAAACAAATCTTTATCTCATTGTTACAGGGCTTAGATGATGAATATCAAGAGGAGGGCACGTTTCTGGGACAGTATGTCTATGACCAAGAAGGGGAGCCGCTGCAGATGTTTACAGTGGTAAGTTTGGGTAAGATGAGATTTAAAGTGTCAGGAGAGACTCGTTTTTAATGGCAGTACTCAATGACCTGTGAAGAGAAGGGCTGCATTCTCTGTTGGGCAATGTAAAAACAGATGTAGGAAGTATTTCTCTATTTGCATCAAAACCCATCATCTAAATAGATAAGATGGAATGTTTCTGCTGTCTGGACACAACTGGTGTGAAAGTAACAAACTTATGAAGAATCAGCTTCACACTTATTCTGTTCCCTTAACAAGCAAGGAGCAAACAAATTAGGAAAGCTCTGTTCAAAGTGTTAAAAATTTCCCAAGCCATAACTTAATTACTAATAAGAGTGAGTTGCAGAAAGCAAGTTTGATGAGAATGCAGCTTTGGTTGTGGCAGTTTATACTAGAGAGCTAACTCTAGTTTGTGTGTTTGCTCTTTCTTTCTCCAGGAGAAAAGTGAAAACGCATTCCAGATAGTGGAACTGAGAATTCTGTCTAACTGGGGACATGCAGAGTATACCTGCCTTTATCGGTTCAGAGTGCATGGGAAGCCTGCTGAATAATCCCCTACACTACAGCGTGGGTTGCTTTGTTGTACATTTTGTTTGCAATCTGTATATACTGGACAGCCTACAACACTGGAATCTTTGAAGGACGAGGGTGTGAGATATATTCTGCAGAGCTACCAGTCCTCTGATAAAGACTGTCAGCAGAACTGTATAAAATAAAACTCACTTGCTCTAATGCTCAGCTTGTAATTGCCAGCTAGCTTTATATTTTTGTGTCCATGCTGAGAGAAGTAATGCATGCAAACGACTCTGGTTCATAAAGCCCAGTTAGCAATCAGGTGATACCTATTTTATTACAAATGAATGTATGTGTTTTTTGCTTTTTTTTTGCTTTTTTTTTGCTTTTTTTTTTTTTTTTTTTTTTTTTAAGAATAAACCACACTTTCAGCAACTAGGATTTTTTTTCTTTTAATTCAGGGCTCAACAGCATATTTGTTAGCTTAACACTGCAAGCCAAATAATGTCATGGAGTTTAAACAGCCTGTGGCTACAGGTGTCCTTCAGTTGACTTTGTTTTGACCTGCTGGGGGATCCTAAAGGGCTTCTTCAATAAATGTTGACTGTAATAAATACTGCTGTCAGGGAAAGTTAACACAACCAAAATTAATTTAAACACCAGCGCCTGAGAATGCTTTACTGTAACTTGTGGCCATGGGTTGCTTTAAAATTCAGGGATAACTTCAAGTTATTTTAAGGGTTTTTACCATGGCAACTTGATGAGCTTGTTTAATTGCTGTATGTGAATGTTTACTAAGCAGTTTAACAGTTTTATCAGCTCTTCTCACTTAGTACACTGAAGCTGATTTGGAACTTAACCCTAGAGAAGAACTATCTTAATTCCTCAGAAATTCTCTCCTTGGGACAATAATTCCTTACATCTGATGGTCGGTAAATGTTGTACTGCAATAATGCAGCACAGGGAAAATGGGGCTGTGGAGTCTCATCAGTACAAAGTAATGGTGTCCAGTAGGTGGGCATGCAAAGCTTTGTACACAACACGAGCTGAGGCTGCTCTAGGGCCCCCCTTTAGCATCACTACTTTTACAGATCCTTTTCAGAAAAGACTCCTACATGCACTTGGTGTGCAGAACTTTTATCTGGTTGTTCCCATGCATTTTATGACCTGTGAACAGTTAACACAGGGAGCTGCTGACTGGTTTTCTGAATAGAGTTCTGTATGTTGCACAACAGTCCTCCGATGTTTCAACACAGTCTCTGCATGGAGAACTCTTCCCTTGAGCTGCAGCCTGCGGCCCATGCAGAGGAGCTGCGTTGTATGTACAGGTGTTTTAATATGTTACATATTTAAATTAGAATTATCCTGTATAAATTGGAATTGGGTAGTGGGAGTATTTTGAATAACACTAACTTATTTTTTAAAGAAGCGAGATAGGACTTTGTGCAATGTATTTTTGTAAATGCTTTTCAAATCGTCTGTTCTTCGCTGCCTCCAAACTGACGAGATGCTATGGAAATGTTTAAATAAAGAGTTTTAATTTTTTCAAAGTGCATGTAATATTTGAAACAAAATAAAGCTTTGGTTTGGGTTTTTTTTTCCGTATCTTCGATGATCTCTTTGAATAATTAACGCCTCCCTCCTCTCCGCGTCAAAGCCCGGCTTGAAGCAGCCGTGCTGCAGCACTGAGGCTCCGAGCCTCCGGCCGCAGCCCTGCGGGCTGTGGGCGGAGCGCCGCCCGCTGCCATTGCTCCGCCCCGGGCCCCGCCCCCACGTGACTCCGCGCCCCACGTGACTCCGCGCAGCCGCTCTCCTGAGCCTCGCGGGCCGCCGTCGCGCCGGGCGGAAGCCGGGCGGTGAGGCGCGACGTCGCTCCGGGGCTGCGCGCGTCTGCGCCCGCCTCCCGCCCGTCCTCCTTCCTTCCCTCCCCCCCCTCCGCGCTCCTCCGCGTCGATGGCGGCGGCGATTATGGCGGCGGAGCAGGAAGCAGCCAAGGGCGGCGGCAGGAACCGCGGCGGCGTGCAGCGCGTGGAGGGCAAGCTGCGCGCCAGCGTCGAGAAGGGCGACTACTACGAGGCGCACCAGATGTACCGGACGCTCTTCTTCAGGTACGGCTCGGCCCGCCGCCCGCCCGCCCCTCCCCCGCGCGGCCTTCCAGAGCCTTCCCACGCATCGCTCCCCGCTGCCGCCCGCCGCGCCCACGTCCCGTTCCTATTGGCCGCCGCTCCCGTCCGTCTCCGTCTCTCGCTCTCTCATTGGGCCGCGCGGGGGCGGGGCGGGGCGGGCGTGCGCATGGCAGGCTGCGGGCGGCACGGATCCTGGGCCCGGCCTGCGCGCCGCGGGGTTCCGCCGCGGTTCCTCCGAGCCCCGCCGCCGCCCGTGGTGACTCCGCGGCGTTCCGGCGTCCCGCCGCTCGCGGGGCTGAGGAGGCGGGCTGTGCCCTTGTCGCTGGTCCGGCGGCGGGACCCCCGTTGGCGCCGTGAGGGCCGCGGGACGCGGCGCTGCTGACGCGTCTCCCGTGCCGGCCTCTCCCGGCTCTCGCTTGGAGGTTCCCGACCCTTCCGTCGCCGTTGCCCGGCTCCGTGTGGGCCAGGCCTTCCCTAACACAGGGGCCCTCCTTCCTCCCTTCTCCAGAGCCTGCAGGGCTCCCGAGACGTCGCCGCGTGTCTCGCTGCAGTCCGGGATATTCCGGCCCCGAGATTGGGCTACAAGTTGTGCTTCCCTGTGCCTGTTTCCCATGCCCCTGCGTTACTGTAGAGGCGCTGAGGCTGTGCCCCTGTGGAAGCTGGCTCACTGCCTGCACCCCTTTGCTGTGCTCCTCAGGTGCCACCCTGCTGATCCCTGTGCCTGTTGCTGTCTCTGGGCAGCCTCTGCTGGCTCTGCCTTCGCCATTCCCCTTCCCTGGCAGCTTTAGGCTGACCAAACTTATGGGCAAAAATGTTCTTCCTTGTGTATGTGGCAGTAATTAAGTAGAGGAGACATGGATGCTCAGTCAGACATTACAGTTATTACTGTGGCCTCTTGCAGTATTTCTTTTCATTGCTCACATCCATGGCGACCTGCTGTTGTCCCCTCTTTCCACGTTCAGTTTAAAAGATAGACCTTCAGGAGCGCTGAATCAGGTACCCCTTGTAGGGGCTTCACTGGTTGGCTTTGTTCACTCATGGTAGTGCCAGAATTGGGATGTTGCCCTCAGCCTCGTGGCTCCCATGTGCCATATGTCCCCAGAGCTGAATGGGATCAGCACGTGGGTACCCTCAGCACACAGCAGCTGGAGTGTGGGATGCTGCACCCTCAGCACTGCAGGCCATAATGTCCTCAGTGCACTCTTCCCATTGCTGCCCTCCCTGCTATATACTGAGCACCATCACACAGCAGATCTGCTTGTTGCGAGGGCAACATCAAAGGTTTCAGACTTAAATTATTATTATCTGAGGAGAAATGTAAATCTAAGCCGTAGTGTGGCCTATTTTATGGGAAGTATTACGTGAGGTGGTGGCTGCAATGGTGGAAAATGACTTTGTTCAGCAGTTGTTTCTCATCTCGTGTTTTATACGCCTTAGCTCACATGCTTTGCTTAAGCCTCAGTGTATTAATTTGGAGTGAGAGTTCCTGCCTTTTCCCTTTCAAACGCAGAAGGAAGGTGCTTAATTAAAGGGAAAGGTGATATTTGCGTAGCTATGGGGGAGATTTCCTTCCAGGCAGAAAGATAGAATGAGGCAGAGAAGATTTGTTTGGAAAGTCGCTGAGAGTGGGAAGGAGTCCCAGACAGTCTTGTCTGTCCTCTGTTAAATGTGTGTTGAATGTGTTGAATGTAAACAATCTTCCAGAGAGACATCAGCACAGAGTGAGGTGATCTCAGCTGCGGAATGTAATTGGGACGCAGTGTTGATTCACTTTGATCAAAGCCAGCCTGTAAATGCGAGTCCATTCCATCATGCAGTGCGAGTCAAACCTGAAATCCTGACTCAGAGCTTCAGAAGTCAGAAGCCAAGGGGTGCTTGAGGTTGGAGGAGGGTGGGGAGGAAGGATTATCACAAACCTGCATCCTGCAGTGCTTGTCCCTCGCTGTGCTCCGCGTGGCAGGAGGAATGTGCTGCTGCTGTCCAAGCAGCATTATGTGGGCAGTGCAGGCTGGGTGGAGCCTTCACTGTGTGCTCTGGCACTTGAATCAAAGGTTCAACATGACTGCCTCTGTAGTGCACTGACTTCTGTTGTCCTTGTGCTTGTAGGTCTGTATGGTATGGATCATCTGTCACAGGATTTCAGTTCTGTTACTCTTTGGTTCTAAGTGCCGTTTAGATTCACAGGGTGAATATTTCTAATCCTTTTTGTTCATATCTTTCAGAAAACAGTTCTTAAGATGTATTTTATGTTGTAGAGCAGTTTTCATTAGTATCACCTGCAGCCACTCCCAGAGTAGGAGGCTCTTGGAAACGGCTCAGTGGGAGGGGGATCCAGGAGGAGCTTTGGAGCCAGAAGCCTTGAGGCACACCTGGCTGTGAGGCCAGCTGCAAAACGCTGCAGGTGCCGAGCTGCTCAGCTGAGGCGTGAGGCATTACTGTGGCTGTGAGCTGCTGAGGGCACTTACTCAGAGAAAGTCCTGCTATCCTTAGCTGCTCTCGGTGGAAGTGCTGCCTTTCTAACCTGGAGATGTGATGGTCAAGAGCTGCAGTTGCCCGTTGCGGTGCCGTGCAGGAGGCCGTGATCACTGTGCTGCGGTAGGAGATCATTCTTGGGGTCACTGTTGGAACCAGTTGTGTCCTTCACTTTTTGGTTTACTCCTAAGTGAGGAAGGGAGGAGCTGCAGCAGGTGTGTGAGAGAACGCTGTGACGGCACAGCCTGCGGGCTGCCTGCCAGCACAGAGACAGGCTGCTTGGCTTCAGTGCGGGTGGCTGGTGGCCCTCACTGGTGCAGAATCAAACAATTTAATCCTTTCCATTAATTGATGTATATGCAACTTGCTTTCTAGTAACTTTTATCAAGGCTTTGCTGTTGTTCCCAGGTATATGTCACAAGGAAAATATGCGGAAGCAAGAGAGTTAATGTACTCAGGGGCTCTGCTGTTCTTCAGTCACAACCAGGTATGCTGATGTTTTTGTGTGGTGCTGGGGGGTTGTTGAGGGGTGAATAGTGAATTCCCAATGGCAAACGTTGGGGTGGTTGCTTCATAATCTTTAGCTTTATCTCTTTGTTGAGTTTCTCTCCACAAGGAAAGATGATTCCAAACTGGAACTGTGAACTGCATTTGTTTTGCTTTCCTGGGAACTTCTTGCTGTTTCCATCAAATTAATGTAAATTTTTGTAAGAGGGAATTGGAATTTCCTGTTGTTCTTTACCTGTAACTGCTGATAAAAGTATTAATGTGCTTCTGACAAAATTCTGCATGAGAAATGAACTCTTTCATGATGTTTCCTTTGATTCACTGTTACGTTCATCACCACCAGCATGTGTTTGTCTTTTAGCAAAACAGTGCTGCTGATCTGTCCATGTTGGTTTTGGAGTCTTTGGAGAAGTCAGATGCAAAAGTATCAGATGACCTTTTAGGTACGGTGACCTTTGCACTCAGTTTGTTTAGGTGTTCTCACTTCTCAGTGAGCATTGAGTCCTGGAACCTGAAATCGCTGTCATCCCATGGGGCTGGGAAGTGGAAAAGGATGGGAGGAAAACTTTGTTAGAAAATGGGTTGCTGATAACTGACAGTGCTGTGAGCAAAGTGTAATTCAAATACATTGAATTAACGTGGCATCCTCCTTTCCTCACTGCATGTTGTCTGCACAGTGACTTGCAGCTCCAAGGCTTTGCTGGATGGCCGTGCCTGCCATAGCAGCGTGGTGGTGCACGCAGTACTTCTCACTTTCTTCTCCAGTTGACATTTAGTGAGCAGACAATTCGGGAAGACCTTAAGAGTCTGCCTTGTGCCCGGTTCTGGGAGTCAGCCGTTGCCTCTGCAGGCTGTGGTGTGGGTGGGGGCAGAAGGTGCAGAGAGCTGGGATGGACCTCATTTCCTTCGGTCAGCTCTGCCTTTCTGTATCCCACCGATGACTTCTGGTGGGCCTTTTTGGAACTGCAGGCTTCTGTCTGCTGCCCTGTTGATGGCAAGCACTCCTGAGGCCAAAAGCCTTCCCGACTCTGTGGGGCTGTTTGAAGCTCTGGGATTCCGTGTCCCAAACCATGACAGGATTGATGTGATGTTTGTGGTGTATTTCTGCAATTCAAAGTCACTGTTTTTAAGATCTCTTATAAAGACTGAGAACAGAGCTTGTTTTATTAGGAGTTGTATCTTGAGAAGCAGCAAGTCTCCCTATTTCTGTTAACATTATGCCTTTGTGAATGTTATTCTTGTAGAAAACTTGGCAAAATTGTTTAGTTTAATGGATCCAAATTCTCCTGAAAGAGTGGCTTTTGTATCCAGAGCACTGAAGTGGTCTAGCGGGGGATCAGGAAAACTTGGCCATCCAAAATTACATCAGTTACTAGCCATTACCCTGTGGAAAGGTAAGAAAAACCAACTGGCTCTCCTGTGTTTGGTTTTGAAAATGTTGAAAGATGTAGGAGATGTATTTTGGAAATAACCTAGGGAAGCTGAGATGGAAATGATTCCTGGTGTTCCCTGCTGTTTGTCAGCATTTCAGGGTTTTGCCACTAGCAAAAAAAAAAAAAAAATAGGCTCATAAATGTGTTTGTGCAAACCCCAAAACACAGCTGCTGTAAAGCTCTTTGGTAAAAGGAGGGCTGATCCTTTAGGCACTGAGGTAGTTTGGCTGAGAGTCGTTAGGAGGAAGCTTGCTGGGCAGCAGGGCTGTTCTGTTGGCTTGTCATCACATCCTGGTTAAACCTAAGAAAGATTGATGCACATCACAGCATCCGACCTCTGGGTACCCATGGGTGTTGAAGAGGCTTATTTCAGGCATTTCCCCTGCAGAGTGGGATTTCAGATAGACCAAAATGCTCAAAATAATTGTGTTTCATACTCGGTTTTTAAAGTCTTTTGCTCAAAACAGAGAGGTGGATGAGAACAGCCAAACAATTAATGCTCTCCTCTGGTTTCTCACCCATTAAAAGCTGTGCAAGGTGATTGCTGGTCTGCTTAACGTCTTTCAGGAGCTGGGATTGGTGCTCGTGGCTGTGTGCCACACTCAGACCAGGGCTGTTCTCAGGGGTTGGTGGTGGTTTTTAGGTGGCTGCTGCCACCTGGAAGGGAAGATTTTCCTCAGTGTTAAAGTGAGAAGTTGTGGTGTGATTAGTGTAGAAAGCATTACATTCTGAAAGTCAGAATCCCCATCCTGTAACCTTCTGCTCGTCCTTCTCTTACAGATCAGGATGTGTGTGTTTTCTTAGCTGTTAGGAGTCAACAGAAATGGCTGTGATTTTTCTAACAAAGCTTTTAAATTCCAAAAAAGAGCAGGTTTCCAGTTGTATTTGTCACTACCACGCTTTTGCATACTTGGCTTCAGGTTCTAACAAAACGCTTTCGTTTCTTGCACCTTTTTTTCCTGCATAATTGCTGTTATGTTCAGAACATGAAGGCAGTTGTAATTTTGATGGCAGGAGCAGGCTATGCTAAAAATAGGGAATGCCTTCTTTCTGTGCACATAGAAGGAAGGATGCTGAGGGTACTGATGGGCTTCATCAGTTGCCTATGATTTACAGGGGGAAAAGCACCCCTCCTTTTTGCTCCTGTCATTACTGTGTGCAGCTCCTCCTGCCTGTAGAGCACCAGCCTAGCAAATGTGTTTTTATGCTCAGCTGTGATGAACTGATTTCTTAAATGCCATTTTCTTTTTCCTTTTATAGAGCAAAACTATAGTGAATCTCGGTATCACTTCTTGCACTCCACAGATGGTGAAGGCTGTGCAAACATGCTCGTGGAATACTCCTCATCCAGAGGCTATCGCAGTGAGGTGGACATGTTTGTAGCACAGGCAGTCCTACAGTAGGTGTTGTGTTGTTTTATGAACTCTTGTGCTGAGGTGATGCTGTGTGTGAGGCCAGTCTAATTTGATGGAGATAACCGTGGGTTAACTGAATGTCCTGTCAGAGAAGCTGTGAAAGTGACCAGAGGTTCCAAAGCTCACTGCGTGTGGTAGCAATAGAAACCTGTCTCAAAGCTCATGTAGAGTGGGGAAAAAATGTGTTAAGGTCAAAACCTAACGTTGTTTTAATTGCTTGAAGAGTTAACGTAACCTGTTTGACCCTCAGAGCACAACTCTTCCTTTTCCTTAACCCTACTTTGTGCCTGGTTGGTTAGGAATTAACTGGATGTGCTCTCCAGGCCTGGGACTACATGGGCACAAGACTTGCTCTCGGTCTCATTGTCCTAAGAGATTATTAACGTTGGGTCACCCCGGTGTCTGAGCAGCACACACCAGTGGTTTCTCAGAACTGCTGGTGGCTCTTGTTTTCTGTAAGCATTTATTTGGAAGGACGTGGCAGTGAAGGCTGTGTGTGCCTTTGCAAGGCTGACGTACAATTGAGGCTGACAAAGCCAATTTTCCTGAGTTTAATCAGCAGGTGGCTTCCTGCAGGCAGGGAAAGCAGCTCAGGGGGAGGCTGAGCAGGAGGTGCAGCCAGGACTGCAGCACGGACAGGAGGTGCTGTGAGAGGGAGTGGGCGAGAGTGAGGCTGTCTCTTGGCAGCCTCCAGCTGTCGTGTCGGATGTGTCCTGCTTTCTTTAGCTGGTTGCTAGAGATTGTAGTGGTGGTTAGTGGTAGAAAATCCCTTCTCTAGGTCTACTGTAGGTAGGACTCTTAAACAGTGCTGTGAGTATTTGTTTCTATGAGTATTGGTTACAAATAAGGGATTCTTTCTCTCAGCATTTAGACAGAGGCACTTCTTATGTCCTTTAATGGCCTCAGAATTTATCTCAGAGGCCACGCCAGATTCTCTTACCTAGCAGTTCGTACTCTTCTCTGTTTTTTACCTTCCCCTGTTCTGTTTCCTTTTGCAGATTTCTCTGCTTAAAAAATAAGACCAGCGCCTCAGTTGTTTTTACAACATATACACAGAAACATCCTTCAATAGAAAAGGGTCCACCCTTTGTGCAGCCACTGCTAAACTTCATCTGGTTTCTGTTATTGGCTGTTGATGGGTACGGTGTGATTTTTCTCACTCTGCTCTTAGTTTCCTTTTCATTTGCTTTCGAGATGACATTTTTGGTTGTTTCCTTTCTAGGGGAAAACTAACAGTATTTACAGTATTGTGTGAACAGTATCAGCCGTCCCTGAAAAGAGATCCCATGTATAATGAGGTGAGTTAGTGGGAACTGCAGCAGGCTGTAACCCCCAGAGCTAGTTAAATAATGGCTGATCACTGTGAGTGCAAAGCACGTGGGTCACACTGCATGTAACGTGGCTGAAGCAGCCGCTGGGTGCTGGCTTTGTGTTTCTCAGGTGAGGTGCTGATAGATGCTGTGGACAGTGGGTGGCTTTTATTGGGAGGAGTGTGTTCATTGGTGGGAGTGGAAGCTGATAAAGCTATCAGGCATGGCATTTCAGTTGTTCTCGATGGCATGCTGAGAAGTAGGGTGGTTGAATACAGCTTGTGGACAGGAGTCAGTGATCTCACTTGTGGTACTTCCACCTGTAAACGAAGCAGCTGATGTTGTTCTCCATCTTGTGTCATTCCAGTACCTAGATAGAATAGGACAGCTTTTCTTTGGTGTTCCGCCCAAGCAGACATCGTCCTATGGAGGATTACTAGGTAAGGTTTATGCCAGCAGTTCTGGTTACTGCAACCAGCCCTTCCAGCATGGTGAGAGAGCAGATAAGAAGTTTTTAATGAGCGTATGGGACCGGTAAGCTAAGTTTGACTGTCGTGTACTTGGTTCTAGGAAATCTTTTAAACAGCCTGATGGGAACTGGAGAAGATGATGACACAGAAGATGGTCAGGAAGACAGCAGTCCTATTGAACTGGACTGAGTATTTTTGCCACAGGCTGCCGTGCACACTGACGATTCGATGACTGCAAAGACAGTTTTGGAATTTGAATCCTGCAGTTGTTTCTTGGCGCCTAAAAGGGCTCCTCCAGTCTTTTAGAAATGGTTGCTGAAATGTTTATAATGTTTGGTCTATATTATTTATGTAAACAAAAGAAAGAAACCAACAAAAAGTAGCCAAAAGAACCAATGGCAGAGATTGTTAGCAGGTTTCCGATGCAGCGGCTGGTGACTTTGATTAAAATATAGTCGTCTACGGTTTCTGATGCAGTATTCCTTTTGCACAATAACTCAGTACACAGGGGTCTGCTCCACGACCTACCCACTACCACGTTTGTTACAAGAAGGCCTCCCTGACCTCTGCCATCTGCGAGGAACATCCTGAAAGCAGGGTGAGTCACTGTGTAACTGAGGGCTGAGGCTGGTGCCAAAAGCCCTGCGATGCATGCGAGGAGCTGCACAGCCAGGATGCACTGACAGCAGGAGCTCCCTCTGCTGCAGTGAGAACAGCACTGCCTGTGTCTGTGGTGAGCTGGCTCTGCCTGAGCCCGTGTGTGTTTAGCTGATACTTCTGAAAAGCACAAGATTGAATTGCTCTCGAGTGAAAGCTGATCAGTGGAACGCAGGTAATTGGCTCCACACGGATCTCTCTTGCCTAGGCTTAAAAATTGGGCATGTAAAATACCTCCTCTGGCTGGAGGCTCTGCTCCTTTGGAACATTCTTTCTCATTCTGAGTTCACACCCATCTGTAACAGTGAAGAGCCACGAGCAATGTCTGCATTTGAAATGCAGCTATATGTAAAGAAAAGGGATACTGCAGAACTTTTGGTTCTTTATGATATATTTATTTTTCTCGGGTGATTGATTCATTTAACACTTCGTGTAAAAAGGATAAATCAATAAATAATGGAGTAATTTCAACCCCAGTGGTAGGCATAGCAGTTCTACATCTTCTCTTTAATGCAGAGCGCTGCGTGGCGGTGGTGCAGCAAACAACTGGGAGGGGGAAACGCTTTATTTTTTCACGATGAAAATACGAAGGCTTAGATTAATAAACAGCAATCATGCATGGGGGAGGGAGGGGTTCATCAGACTTCACTGCCTGTATGAAAAAGAAAAGAAGGCAATGAAAGGCAGATTTTGTGTTAATTGTGCTGTCTCAAATAAACACTTTATACCAGGATCTACGATACAGCTGCTTTCTGAGAGTCTGTGATGGGTGCAAATCGCTTCACTTTGCAGCCTCAGTTCCTGCTCAGTGCCTGCTGAATGCTGCACACATCATTGTTGTGTGGTGGGATGGAGCAGCCTTGGCCACGGCCCCGTCCAGGGAGGATTCCTTATCACAGGTATAACATATACTCACATTACTGTGGTCTTTTTCTATTTAATACTTGGTAAGCTCTAATAGTTATTATACAGGCCCTCATTTTGCACACACAGTCTGTCTCCCTCTGTCTGAAGCCTCAGCCACTGTTTGACACAGGGCTGATTTAAGTGACAGCAAAAAAAAAAGATTTTGTAAATTGTATGCATACATAGGCAAACAAATACAGAGAGCAAGCTCCACACGTGTATAACTGCATTTCTGCATCACGGACTTAGCTTAAATTACAGGCAATACATAAACTTTATTAATTAATTATAAAAAAATGCATCCCAAAATTAATTTAGTTATTAAAAAGCCAGTAGTGCTGGCTGCAGATGAAGAAGCACCGTGTGTGCGTTGAAGAAATAGGTTTGCCTTCTACGTTTGTCAGTTATTCCTATAAATGCCTCCCTACTCACCTCTGTGTCTGTGATCCTGTAACACGACAGTGGGGTGAGTGCAATGAAATACCTCTTGTGAATGTGCACACATCCATCCACACACACGTGTTGCTAACACCCAGAATCACCCCACAGCCAGCACAGCTCTATGCACACACACAGTACACGAAGGAAGGTATTCCCACCCCCTTCCTTTCTGCTTCCCTGCAGACCCAGACAACACCAGCACCTGTCCGACATCAGCGTTTATTGGTGCGAATGACACGTAGTACCACAGTTCTTACCAGTGACATTACAGACAGACACAGCCCACGAGGGGTTCGGTTACAAACACTGACAGCAGGGCCTGAGCCCCGGCCCCAGCAGTTACAGTGCTCAACACAGCGCTGAAATGTCACTTCAAGCAGCTTTTGTATTCATTGCAGGAAAAAAAAAAAATAAATGAAAACATCCAAAAAAATAATAATTAAGAGAATTATTGGAAAACAAAGTGCACCAACCGGACCACAGAGGACTGTGCCAAGGGCAGCAGGGACACAGGTGGGCACAGCCCAGCCTGCTGCTCAGCCCCAGCCCCACAGCCACCCGTGGTACCCAGCAGCAGGCACTGCCAGGCTGTGCACTTTGGTAAGCAGCTAACGAGGCCAACAACACAGATACCTGCATTTCTACACCCTGCTCGGAATCAGCCTAGAGACAGCACTGCCACCACCTGGGAGCTGTGATGCTCACCCGCACTGATGTCACCTATGTATAATTTACCTCTGTGACACCGGGAGGATCGCTCATTCAGCAACACCAACACAGCAGGAGGCTGCAGTGCCCAACAGCTGCATCCTGCTCACGCTGCCCTGCAGGCACCAGCACAGCCCTCACGGCCGGCTCCATCCACCCGTGTGACACCATGAGAGCAGTGCTCCAGAGGACAGAAGCCTCAGCCAGGATGAGTGTCACCCCCTGCTCCCCTTGGGGAAGGCAGAAGCAGCACGGTGTGGGCACCCGTGGGATGGAGGGCTGGCAATGGTCCTGCACAGGAACCACTGTCCTGGGGGGAGAAACACAGTGATGGGCTTCCTACCAGGAGCTGTTTTCAGCTGCTCTCAGTGCTTCTCCCTTAAGTTTTAGGGAGCGCAGAGGACAGAGGCAAGGACACATTTCGGTCATCTCCAAACTCCCCCCTCGGTTCAGCTGCACATTCCTACATTTAAAGACAATGGTTTCTCTCCTCTTATTTTTAGGTGTTGGCATCTCAGGGGCTCGCTCTCCCCTGGAAACAGCTGGTAGGCAGCAAGGGCAGCAGGCAGCGCCCCCAGAGCAGCAGGGCCGTGGGCTGAGCCCGGTGGGATGAGGTGGGGGAATCTCTGTCACCAGAGCACAGGAGGCTTCGGGCCCAATCCGTATCCCCTGTGAGCTGAGGCAGCAATGAGCCACGGAGGAGGAAAAGCACCAGCCCCAGCAGCCAGCTGCTGCAGCATCATGGGCAGGGCGCTGGGATGGGCCGCAGCCTCAAGTCCCCCAGAACAGCCATCGCTTTCCACAAGGAACCCATATGGGTTTTGCACCACAGATCACATTGTCCAAAGGGCGTCCCGTCCCCAAGAGATTCGTCCCCGAGACTCTTCACCACAGGGCAGGGGACCCTTCCAGCAGCACAGCGCCCTACCTGCAGGAGACACGTGGACACGAGGTGCAGGAGGAGCAGAAATGAGTTCGGGGTTGGATCAGTGCCTTCTCCCATGTTTCACTGCTGCCCTTCTTGGCCTCCGACATGATCAAGTGAATGATGAGGGGAAAGGGAAGTATTATTATTATTATTACTGTTATTATTATTAATAATTACTTTTTTTAACATTTCAAATAAAACCATGTTGTGTTGTAAACAGAAGCTCATTCCTCAGGTCTGCCCAGCCAGTCCCATCTAAGGTTTATGCTTGAAATGGGCTTCCACTGAAACAAAAGAAAAGAAAATAAAAGTTAAAGTCATGGGCACAACCCCAGCAAGGACAGCCCGGCCCCACAGGTGTGATTGTCCTCAGTGCTGGGTGACTGAGCAGGCTCTGAGGTCCCTTCCAACCCAACCATTCTATGTTCCTACAGCACCGCTGCCCCTCCACCAAGCACAAGCCTTGCAGAGGAGGGCTGCCCCACTCACACCAGGCACAAGAGAGCAGCTGCAGTCACCCCATCATCACCCACAGAATCACAGAATGGCCTGGGTTGGAAGGGACCTCAAGCATCATGAATCTCCAACACTGCCACAGGCAGGGCCACCAACCTCCACATTTAATACCAGACCAGGCTGCCCAGGGCCCCATCCAACCTGGCCTTGAACACCTCCAAGGATGGGGCATCCATCCCGTACTCCAACCCATGGGAAATCAACTGTCCAAGGCTGTTCTCCAGACCTCGTGGGCACACACCTGCGTATTCCTGAGGCAGCATTGGCCTGCTGATAACTTTCTGGAAGGTGGTAATCCACTCCAGCTGGTCGTCCTCCGTCTCGCAGGCAAAGAGGAATTTCCTGTCCGGGGTGACGATGGTGATGCCGTGCTGCCAGTGATTTCCTTGTGTGGATGGCGGGAGCCCTTCCAGGACTTTGTAGCTGTTTTCCTTGCTCCCAATGAACACTTCCCCTCTTGCAAAGGCATCCTAGAAGACAGTAGCCAGGAGCACAGAGTGCAGAAGCTGAGACCAAAAGCACCACAGCCCCACAAAGCCCTCCACCAGCAGCAGCCCAGACCCAGCAACACAGAATTCCAATGTGTCCTGCTGAGCATCAGCCTGGGCTTTAGTGCAGACCATGCCCAGTACTCAGCTTAGGCCCCTTTCTCTTACCAGGGGATCCTTGAAATACATGAGCCTTCGGTCATCCATGGTGAACCATCGCTTCTTGAATCCTTCTGTTTGCTGCAGAGTCAGAAAGTGCTGAATTACACCCCAAAGTATGAAGTGCTTTGCTCATCAAATGCAACCTGGCAGCATCAGGGCACAGAGGCAGTTTCGGGTGGCTTGGAGGACCCTGCTGGGTGGCTGGGAAAGGCAGCTGGGGGCAGGTGGGCCTGTAGCAATGGCCAGAGAGCATGGAAATGGGCTGGGTTCATCCGTGAGATGTTTCTGGATTATTTTTTTTATCTTTCGGTTCCAAACCCAAACTTCAGGTGGAAAACGTGTATTAATGTGCTTACAGTGTTAAGGCTTCACCTCTGCAGAGAGGACAAGATTGTCTCACCAGCAGACCCTTCATCATCCCATACAGAGCAAGCCCTGGTTTTGGGGGTGTTGCAGAAACATTTATAGCCTACCTTGGGCCCTGTTTTCTCCATGTACCCCTCCTTCAGGTAGTTTCTAGAGAGCTTTGGCACCAGCTGGAGCAACCAAGCAGGAGAGAAATGAGAGCACAGCATCAGCTGGAGGTGGCTGGGGAGAAGCCCGAGCCCACTGACCCCTTTGCCACCAGATCCCAACCAAGTGGCTGGCAGTTCCATGCAGGTGAGCCAACCACACATCCCACAGCAGGCTGATGAGACGTTCCCTTTGATTTTTTAACATCTGGCCCATGTATCTCTTAAGCTGAAAGTGGTCTGAAGGCCCTCCCATCGCAATAATTTTGGCAGTTATCACACAGCACACACTGAAGGACTGAGCACTCCCCAGAGCTTTCCTGCTTGATAACCCTAAAAAGAAGGAAAAAAACAATCTGGAAAACTTACATCAGCATCGCTGGCTCCAGGAAATGCCACTTGTAAGTAATGAAAACGTGCAGCACGAATGGCATTGAACCAATCCACTATTTCCTAATAAGAGGAACAAAAAACAGTGAGCACCACAGCCTGCACGTAACAAAGCAACACCATCCTGCTGCTCTGCAGCTCTCCCATCCCTTTGTCCCAGTGACATGAGTGCAGTTTAGTGCTAACCCTCAAAAAACAAGAAAACAAAATCAAAGTTAGTTTGGTAAAGGGCACTCAGCCCTTTAACATGAAGAAGGTCTGGTAGCAGCACTTCTCATCCCCGCTCCCCATCTGCTCGTGTTTAAGTCGGGTGTGGGAGGAGGAAGGTCAGCAGAGGGAAATCCAGCTGGTGGCTTTGAAAAGAGACTTCAGGTGATCCGGAGCCATCGCTCAGGATTAGCAGAGCCTGAAGTGCTGGGGAGCAGCAGGATGCACAGCACCATGGGCAGGGTGCTTGGCAAAGAGCTGGTGAGACCCAGCGTGGAGCTGGCAAGACCAGAGGTGAGCCCAGTCCTGCAAACATGGATTTCTGCACCTCGCCTGCACACAGATGCAAATCCAGGCTAACAGCTCCGCCGCCTGCTCCCCATTTCCAGCCTCACCCCTCTGAATGCAGGGAACACAAAGGACATCTGCCACATTCTGAGGCCACACGACTTCCTTCCAGATTCTGCTGCAAGAGTGGCCGGGC